CTTGGTAGCTTTGGTACAATATTTTGCATGACTGATGGTTCTAGATATTAGATGTTATAAAAAATATGCCTTAAAAGTAGAATCATTAAATGTCATCATTAATACTAACATGGGATACATAATATGCCTTCTCATTAAAAACAGTAGGTACAATTTTATATAATAATATGGACTCTATCACGAAATAGCGCGTATCAAAAGAGGGTCAGTTAAAACAGTGCCCGAATGAAATAGCGTCAATCAAAATAGGTCCAAAAACTAACATCAAATGATTAAAAAAAAAACTGAACTAATTTACCTAACCTATGCGGCCTGGAGTCATCGCGGGTTGATTCGCAAACAATTATACATAAAATTAAAAAATTTAAGAAACTTAATTAGTTTACCTAACTTGTGCGTGAGCGATCGTTTATTTTTAAATGGCTCCAGGCCGAACAAATTAGGTAAATTAGTTTAGTTTTTTTTTATTATTTTTCTCATTTTATGTATAATTTTTTTGCGAAGCTACTCGCAATGGGTACAGGCGCAGGTTAGGTAACTTAGTTAAGTTTTTTCAATCAGTTTATGTAAAAAAGTACGGCTATTTTGAAACGCGCTATTTCGTTCGGAAGTATTGGCGGGTTGATTCGCAAAAAAATTATACATAAAATGAAAAAATTTTAAAGACCTTGAAAGGACTATTTTGAAACGCGATATTTCTCGTTCGGCATTAGAGTCCGATTACAATAAGATGAACACAGCTACGTCATCAATTGGCTAAGTAATTCGTTGGCTATCGCCGCCTACTGGGGTTTAGTGGCGTGTTAATATTGTTACGCTGGTTTTTGGTAACTCAATTTATTTTAAACTCACCTTTTACAATTCAACTACACAACTGACAACATAAACATAAAACGTCTATCATATAACTTGCCCTGGGACGTCAGGATTATCGACTTATAGCTTCTTTTATCTCCAGATGTTTCTTAACACGGAATGACATTTATAGACATTTCTCTCTTATTTTATTCGTACTTCTACTTAGTACACTGTCGGGTGATGGGTAACATTGCACTTCTTCTTTTATTCGTACGTTTTCTATAACAGCCTCAGGCTACTGCAGGGTGCACGGTAATATTGCTCTCTCTTTTCTAATTATTCGTCCCGAATAACTTGATTACTGAAGCCTGGATGGAGCCAACGAGAAAGATTTGTACCACGGTATGGCGCCAAGTTTGCTTCCCGTTGATAACTGAATGCGGTAGATCAGGTCGTCGATTTTCTTGAGGACGGTGTAGCGGCCTTCCCAGTTCCGTTGCAGTTTCTGACGAGGTCCTTTTCGATTGTACAGCCATACAGGGTCGCCTCTCTCAAAATGTGTCCCTGTGGCATGTATGTCGATTCTATTTTTCGTTTTATCGCTGTTGACTTTCAAACGTTCCCGAGCGAATCCGTAGATCTTTTTTCTGCCATTGCATAAATCACATTTTTTTACACCAATCTTCTACAGCCCGTAGGCAATTGACGAACTAAAATAATTCCAGAACTCGTGCCAGTGTCTTTTTAGTCATAAAATATCCTTCTGAACGGCTACTATGAAGCTCCTCCAACACTCTTCTGACATGTGTTTTCGGCAGTCCAATTGGCGGACTATTTGTACTTCATCGGGGCTCTCCCACTTTCGGTGCAATAGGCCATCGTGAAGATACAGGGAAGTCCAGTACCTTTTAATAGCTCCCCTATATTTGGCTATCTCTTGTCAAATAGGTCTGACTTTATTTTTGTACCATTTCGGGACAACCTTCAAATCATTGTCTTTCTTTTGTACCTTTCTCAGGCTATCAAGGGTGATTTCCTCTTCGTCACCCTCTGGTTTAATGGAGTAGGTGTGGGTGACCGGCATCTCCGGAAAGCATATCTGGTGTAATTATTTCTTGTTGGACTTCGTGGCGGGATTCGGGAGATTGATCTAGGTGACTTTCTGGCCACATTCCGCGATTCTTAATTTATGGAACGAGCACTGGATCTACAGGTGCTTTGAAGGAGTCCTATTCTTCCGCCATTTAAATATCTTCTGCTTTCACTTTATCTGTTTCGTTGCATATTGTGCAGGATGTTTAAGATTTGTGAGTGAGTAGGTTGGGGAGTAGTATTAGTATTGACCTCTCCACTTTCCTGGATTCTAATTTCTCTCACTTGTATACGAGAAGATCTAGATGAGTTTTGACGCTTCATATTCCTGGGCTGTAATCAGTTTCTCCCTCAGCATCTTGTGTTGTTGTAGCCGAAGAGCTTGCTGCATTTACACATCTTGTAGTACATCAATGAATGCCTGTATGTCAATTTGTTCTTGGAAATCCTTGGGCGCCTGTGGATAGGCCAGATGAAGCAATCTTTTTATATCAGCCTCGAATTCCTGTATACTCTCATTATATTTACGAACCTTTAGCCGGCTTTGGAATACCCGTTTCAAATGCTGCTGGCTATACCTTGTCTGGTTTAGGACGAGAGACGAATATCTGGGGCTTCCCCTTGGGAAAGTTACTGTAGAGCGGTTGCCACCTGTCCTCGCAGCGACAGTATCAATTAATTCGCCATCTCGTTTTCGGCCCAGCCATTGGCTCTAGCTGCAGCTTCAAATTGGAGTCCCATGTTGTCTGATCGTCAAACGTGGATGGCTTAATGGTTCTGCTAGTATGGTTTTGTGAAACTGGGTTTTGAATATGGCTTGGTTCGGTTATAGGTGAGGACGAGATAGTGTTTTCAGCTTCACCTTTGCTTGCCGAAGCTAGGCTACGAATTCTTCTTTCTAAATCAATTATTTTAGTTCTAATTTGCCTCTCCAACTCTACTCTACCAGTTTCTTGTTGTTTTAAACTAGTTTTTAAATTATTTTGTTGTTGTGCTTCTTCTTCTTCTTCTTCTTCTTCTTTTTCTTCTTCTTCTTTTTCTTCTTCTTCTTCTTCTTCTTCTTCTTCTTCTTCTTCTTCTTTTTCTTCTTCTTTTTCTTCTTCTTCTTCTTCTTCTTCTTCTTCTTCTTCTTCTTCTTCTTCTTCTTCTTCCTTCTCGTGCCTTTCCTTCTTTTCTTTTCGCCTTTGCCTCTCCTCTGCTTCGTCCTTCCAGCGCTTTTCCTTTTCCTCTTCTTCCTTCTACCTGCGCCTTTCATTTTCCTTTTCTCGCCTATGTCTTTCCTCTTCCATCTGTTGGGCCTGAAGTATCCATATATGTTTCGTACGCATTGGATCTAGTATTTACCATGAATAAAATACTTAGGTAACTTTTATTGTATATCCCATCGCTGTCACCAATGTTACGCTGGTTTTTGGTAATTCAATTTATTTTAAAATCAACTTTTATAATTCAACTATACAACTGATAACATGAACGTAATACGTCTATCATAAAACTACACTGGGACGTCAGGATCATCGACTTATATAGCTCCTTTTAACCTTCTCGGGCCTTCTTGAACCGTCCAGATGTTTCTTAACAAGTACTGACATTTCTAGACTATTCTCTCTTCTTTTATTCGTACTTCTACTTATGACGACCGCAACACATTCGTACGTTTCCTGCATGCTACTGCAGGGTGGAGGGTAACAATATTATAAAAATGTAGGAATAATATTTTTAAACCAAACAACTCACATATATTCCTTATTTATTGATAGTATAGATAATATATTTATATTAGAAATTCAAAATAATAGTTATGACGTAGCGGTGTTAATATTATAATCGGTCTTTATTTCGTGATATCCATTTAGGACAGATGCTGTTTTAATACTTATTATTTCAAAAGGCGCTATTTTGATCAGGTCCTAAAACAATAACGCTATTTTGATACGCGTTATTTCGTTCTGTGCTATGTCGTGACAGAGCCAATAATATGACTGTTTAATTTTAAAGTAAGTCGACTTTTAAAATAATAATAAAAATAATAATAATAATTATTATTATTATTATTATTATTATTATTATTATCATCATTATACATACATATTATTATAATGTCATTGCATATCTTTATTTTTGAAATAGCAAAAATGTTGACATTTAGGGATTCATCTTAATAAGGGAGCTCAAATAATTATTAATATTTTTTCTCGTTAATACAGTGTATATCTAATTTTTTAAACATACCTACCATATATACTTTTAAAGAACAAAATAAGAAAATTATTACAGTACGTAGAACTTTTTTTATTAGTAATTTAAAAAATAAAGTTATTCTTTATAAAAAGTTCTGCATGGTCTGAAATCTAAGAGTAAATAAAGAGCAAATTTTTTCAGTCTTATAGGTTTGTCAAAAAATGAGAATTTTATACAAGAATAAAGTACCTTTATTTTTGACAATCTAAAATTGTTATAAGAAAAAGTTGGGTCAAAAATAAATGTTCTTCACTTTTGCATAAAATTAATGTTTTTGGACAATTCTCGTATACGACTGAAAAAATTTGATATGTGATGGTTGTATTTTAGATTTTAAACCATACAAAACTTTTTATGAAGAATAACCTTTTTCTTAATATTAATAATAAAGAGTTCAACTTAAGTCCAACATGTATAAAAGTGCCTAACGGTTGATAAGTTAACTTGTTTTTTCACCTTTTAATGAAAATATTTGTGATGTTAATCGTCAACTAGTTAATCTGAACAAAATGCTAATAAACCGAAATATAAGACATTTATGACATATTTTCTTGTTTCCTTTATTTTACATCACATTTGAGTTTGGAATTATTTTCAGTTTTTTTTATTTTTATTTTGAATTCTTTAAATAGTATTAAGGATAATTTGAAAGTATGTCAGAATCTTTCATTACTAGAATGTTTTTCTCAAAGTGGTCTTTCTAAAAAAAAGACAAAAATTTCCTCATGCAAATTCAGAAGAATCATCGTGTATGATAACTAATTAATAGATATTCACTGTATCAAATTCATTTTCATTCCCGTATGCTGCTTTTTCAATTATTATTGAAATAAATTTTATGCATGGCATTTTTTCTTTTTATTTTATAGGATGTACAAATTGAGATTTGTGCTATTTTAAACGATACTACAGGAACATTAATGTCCTGTGCTTGGAAAAATCATGCTACAAGGATTGGGCTAATAGTTGGTAGGTGCAATTTTGACCTTATTAACAATAATAATGATCCCCCTTTATGAAATCCTTTAATTTAAACCCTTGCTAGTGCTCAGTTATATTTATTTGTGATTTTTTTTTATTATTATCAATATACATAATTCTATTCAGCTTAAAACTGTAAAAACCTAATTTAAAATTAAAATCTATCAGTAAGAAAACACAAACGCCTTGCTTCAAAATTTTTTTACAAATATTTTCTTAAACTTTTCGAATTTACATTTTGTATTTATTTTTGTGTTGATAAATAATTGAAAATGTTTTGAAAATTTAGACGCATTTAGAATTCAAAAAGAATTAAATGTATGAATATTAAAATTAAATTCTGGTGAGAAACGATCATGAAACCGGAAACGAGGTATATGGATTTAAAAAATACGAATTTTAATTTTTTTTTTGAAAATACAGGGTGTTGTCTTTTTGCCTAGCAAATAAAAATGTAGATTTTTAAATTGAACACCCTGTATTTTATTTCAGTTTTAGAATGATTTGGTAATACTGTCTATAACCCTAGATTTTCTTTAAATATTACAGGGTTGCCAAGCAATTAATATATTTATGAAATTAGAGAATGATGCAGACCCTAAATTAAACTATTATAATTTAGGTAGATTTACATTGATTTTAAAATTATTTAATATACAGACTTATAAGATACTAGGCTAACGAATAGTGGTGATAGAACTGATTTATTTTATACAGAGTGTTTTGAAACATCTTAAATATGGCTAATTTTTAGTTCAATTTACTCATTTTTTTCAAATGCAACACCCTGTATATTATTTTAGCATAAAATTTCTTATACATTTGCCTATCCAACAATACCAACATGTTAGCCAATAACACATATACAGGATGTCCCATTAGTGAGTAATTGATTGATACCTATTTTATTATTGAAAATACGAAGAATGTTTTAATATAACAGTTGTTAACAATTATTCTTAAACAATACAGGGTGTTCCATAAATAAGGTACTGACCAAACCTATACTTTTTTAAAGCAAAACACCCTGCAGGTAGTTATACATATTTGATTGTCTTCACATCGTCAAACGATTTTAATAGTCTTCACTCATTTGCTTTGTTGTATATAGGGTGTGTCAAACTGCGAGGGTAAGATTTCCTCAATTTAAATGGAATATTCTATATGTTATACCACCAATTAATTAATACAGGGTATTCCATTTAAAAAATTGAAAAATCGTAACCTCGCGTTTTGACACTCCCTGTATACATCATAGCAAATAAATGAAGTCAATTAAAATTGTTTGACGATGTGAAAACTATCCAATATATATGACTACTTGCAGGGTGTTTTGCTTTTAAAAAAGTATAGGTTTGGTCAGCACCTAGTTCATATAACACCCTGTATATTTAGGAACACCCTGTATATTTAGGAACAATTGTTAAATATGGTCATACAACTTTTATATTAAAAATGTCTTTGTATTTCCAATAATAAAACAGCTATCGATCAATTACGCACTGATGTGACACCTTGTATAAGTGTTAATGTCTAACATATTGGTATTGTTGGATGGGCAAATGTAGGAATTTTATGCTAAAATAATATACAGGGTGTTGCATTTGAAAAAATTGATGAAATTGAATTTAAAATTAGCCATATATAAGATATGTTTCAAAACACTCTGTATAAAATAAATCAGTTCTATCACCACTATTCGTTAGCTTAGTATATTAAACAATTTTAAAATCAATGTAAACCTACCTAAATTATGATGGTTTAATTTGGGGTCTGCATCATTATCTAATTTCATAAAAATATTAATTGCTTGGCAACCCTGCAATATTTCAAAAAAAAATCTAGGGTTGAATACAGTGTTACCAAACCATTCTAAAACTGAATTAAAATACAGGGTGTTCAATTTAAAAAATATACATTTTTATTTGCCAGGCAAAACTGCAACACCCTGTGTGTACAAAAAAATTAAAATACGTATTTTTAAATACATTTAACCTTTATTTGAAACTTGTTTGCGTGTCTATAACACAAATTGAAATAATGAACAATTACGCACTAATGGGACACCCTATATAGGGGTTTATTCTGTTGTGTTTTAGTTAATGTTAACCGCCAGCTTAAAAGGTTATTTGTAACTATGACGTTTAAATGTTATTCCAAATCTCTATTCGATATTCCATAAATTTAATTTTGTGTCATTAGCTATTTTATATCCAATCCCAGTTAAAATAGACACGGCAACGATGTAATATACTTAATAATTGAAATTAAGCTTATAAATAAGAAAAAGAATATATTTGACATTTATTACTAACATAAGTTATAATTTTAACCAAATAATATAGAATAAAAAATAACTTTCTGTTATTTTTATAATCCTAGGTTAATTTAAAGAATAGACCTCCATAATCAAATTAAAATATGTATTCATGCAGTACAAGTTTACCACCGATTCTATTAATGACATAATAATAATTATTTAGGCATTCATCTTCATTATTTAGCCCTAAAACTTAAAAATGCCACATTTGACTCAAATAATTCGTTGTTCTTTAAATAGTCTTTTACAAAAGGATTCGAAAAAAATACAGATGAAGTAAAACTTTGTTAAAAAATAAATGGACTGTGTTAAAAGATCTAGAACACACGATGAATTTGATTTATCAATCCTAGGATGAATATTTAAATATTTTTTACGGGTATATGAAAACAAAGTGTAAAATTTAGAAAAATATTCTTTTATAATCGTTTTACCTACATAAAATGTTATTTTTTTTTTATCCTCATACAAAATGGGCAATTTAGACAAAGCAGATAAGAGTTATTTATGTCCTCATTGTTTCCTTTATTATCAATATATTCGAATAAAAATTATAATTGTCATTTTTGCACAATGGGCTATGAAATTGTTGATAATTTAAATAGATTTCTAATCTTAATTATGTGCATTTTTATTCATAAACAAGCATGGGTATTAGATCATCCAGTAGAGCGTTATAAAAATGTAATAGCATGAGCTTTAACTACTAACATAATAATTGGTATGACTATTAGATTATGAGTTATGAGTATTAGAAGTAACCAGTCATATATAACGCAAAAATTACATAATCAATTTTAACCTCCTTGTAAACCTTTTTTTTTATAATTAGGATAATTAGTTTATACAAAAATTTCAAACTAATTTTAATTTTTAAGAATAATATCTTTCCGCCTTAATAATGGGATCGTCAGAGAGTGACCGATTTAGGTCCCATTTTCGCATGCAAGCCTCGAAGAGGGTTGAAAACTACAACGATATTAAGTAGAATGAAAGGAAATTTGGGGATAACACATGAAAAATTCGATTTTCCTTAAGGCGAGAGTTTGATTGCATTTAATTTTAGTTCCAAATAAATTTGAAAACTATAAAAGATAAGAGTCAAGATTTGATAGACATTTTTAAAATAAATCAGAGCAGTTGCTGATGCCAATATAAATAATACACTTTGAGAATAATAAAAATAAAAGTTTAAACATTTATACAAAAATTTAATATGATTTTTTAAAGGAGTCAAGCAAATACTCTATTAATAACCAAATACAATCACGGTTCGAAATATTCAGAATACAGTTTTGAAAATTTAAGAAGACGAATGAATGTATAAATCAATACAGATAATATAAAGGCAACATTGACTCTTTGCTTAATACTTACGAGTACTATTTGTAACCAAATCTCTCGAAAATTATTTTGTGAATGAACTTGAACTGGCTGGATTAATAGTCCGGGATCAGTAAGTAAGGTCGATCTTCACCCATCTGTTTACTGGATAAAAGTTTTTTTTTTTATTAATAAAATATGTTTTTAAATATACCGCAAATGGGTTGCCTAAGAAAATACGGTCACGGCCATTTTTTACTTTCCTTTCTGTGTACAGATAAGGAAAGTATAGGAATCATGATAAAAGTTGTTTATGATGTCATTCTGTATTATTTTGTCCCTATACATGATTTCCCCAAAATGTACCTAATTCTAGATATTTGAGAAAACTGCAAATTTTGAATTTTGAAGATAACTCAAAAACGGATGAAGAGAAAAACACTAAATTTTAAACTTAAGCTTTAATCCATCCTACGGTGAGCTGATTAAAGTTTGGACATAGTCGAAGCATCTGGGGAATATTTTACAGGGTGTTTTTTTTTACTTTAAGAAAATAAATAGTCTGGACCGAATTTTCTTAAGCAACCCATTTGCGATATATTTATAAACACATTTTATTTAATAAACAGAAACTTTCATCCATTAAACAGTAAAGTGAAGGTCGACCTTACTTCGGATCTTCGACTATAATGGACAAAATAATAAGTTAAAGAATTCGTCGGAAATGTCAACTTTGTGCTTGGACCTTTGGTACGTAGGTACATAGTTTGAAAATAATTTTATGGCTGGATAAAAGAAATTAGGCACTCCAACGACCTGTCCAAATGGCGACCAGTGGGATCTGACAGTTGGCCTGTTGTTATATTCAGGGTCAATGATACATATATAGTTATATAGATTGCTCAAAGCGGGTCGTTTGCGAGCGGCCATATTGCCTGGCAAGTGTTCAATAATTTGAATCGGTTTGGCAAAAATATGTTTAAAAACCGATCTTCAGCCTTTGAACATTTAAAAAAAAATTACCTACATTTTTACTTCAAGGCATAAGCTTATGTTTATTTTGAAAACCATGGATGATCAATCTATATAAATGTCTATATCATTGACCCTATCAAACCACCAGGCTCACAATGTTGCCATATTATAACCTGTCATGTGCCTGTCAGTGGCTTGTCATTTCAAACGACCAGCCATTTTGTTTGGAGTTGATTACGTTCAGTTTCATTTGTAAATGAAAAGTATAAAAGAAAAAATATAAAAGAACATAATTTTTTTATAATCATTATTTAAATTGGATAGGTAAGATACCTATAAACATTTTACACGATAGTAGACATACTGGGTG